TCAGGATTTATTTAACATGTGCAGTATTCACAAATATCCAACTGTAATTCGTAGGATGACGGTTCCATAACACACGGGCTGGAGATAAATAGCTGGGCCAAACCTGCAGTCTGAATGGACAAGACTAAGCTAAGAAGTGCATTGAATGTATCATAAATAATTGGCCACAGTGAATTAGTGCTTTCAGAGGAAAACATTTATGTGGTTCAGGTAACTGAGAAACCATCTTTCTGTGCTGCAGACTGCTGATGCTTCCCTGCACAAAGGATTCAGGCTGAAGCTTCTCCTGAGCCACTTCTCCAGCTACACTCGGAAACTTTGATACTTCTTGGAAAAAAAAGACTTTTAGCAGGTTTTTTCCTTTTTCCCTTAACGGTTGAGGGTTACTGTGGCAACCTACGGCGCCTGTGTGGTGCCCAAACCCACAGCATTTGCATAAGCAGACAGCAAATTCACTACCTGTCTAGTTTCCAGTGTGAGTCTGGCTTCAATAAGCCAGTCCTCCACCACTCTCCTGGCCTCTCCTCTCAGCTGGTTCACCAGTTTAGCTGCTAACTCCAGGTCCCCGTGCTCTAAGCAGTAGCTCGCATATGACAGAAGCTTGAAAGGATCTAAATCCTCAGAGCTCAGCTGGCTAGGTGGAGCTTCCTGCCTCTTCTCAAACAGCAGTGCAGCTTGAAGGTAGGACAAGAAATACTGATACAAGGAGTTACGAGATTCATCGATGAGAGCGACGCGGCGGGCCAGCGATCGCAAGGAGTTGAAACGGGCACGGAGAGAGGCCTCGCTGTACACGCCGCGCTGCAGGGATTTCTCTGGAAGAGCCGACGCCAGCGCCAAGGCAAAGTCGTTGTCTCGGCAGCTGTCGCGAACAGCCTGAGCGGCGTTCTCCAGAGGCACAGTGGGCACGTCGGCTTCAGCAGTCTTCAGGGAGTAACTGAGAGCCTCCACAGAGAGCCACAGCTGGTGGGCCTTACGAGCCTCGTCCTCTGCTACCACGTGGCCTGAAAAGACAAAGAGCGTTACATGATCGAGTGGAAAAGTCTGTGTGCACGTGGACATCCAGGCCCTTTGCACACCACAACCTGACTTTTAATATTACAGGAAAAAATGATCCAACTATTCCAACACATCACATGACCAACATTCATCTACACACATCATCATTCCTACATATTCCTCTACAGCACTCCAGATAACAACCTCCCCGACCAATCACTCAGTGCTATTTCTTTGCTTTTTTGGATGTGTGTCTCTTACTGTCTATAGCTTCTTCCACCCCCTTCAGTCTTGCGTAGGCTGTGTTCATGTCCAAAGTGAAGTTGTCGAGCTGTTCCTGGGTCAGCTGACGGTAGCGAGTCTCCTGTTCCAGCATCTTACTGCTCAGTACCTGAACACAACCAAAGCAAAGCTCTGAAGGGCTGAAGGA